CAGAAATAACAACAATACTAATAATACATACTAAAAGCTGTTTTACAAAGTAAAATAAATAGACATAAAAACAGTAAATTATTTGAATCCCTAAATGCTACACATATATCCACATAATTTACACTTGTTTTCCTTCTCAGCTGAATTGGGAAACCTGTGACCTCAGAGTGCCTTTATTTATTACATCTCAATTATTTCCATGGAAACGTGGATTGTGGCAATCTACTGGGTTGCTAACTCCCTAGACCCAAAATGTATATGATGGACTTTATAAAAACCAAAGATATGGATGATCAAAAGAGAAGGAAGAAATTCTGCTTTTGTAAACTTGAGTTACACATACAAATATAATTTTTTATGTACATTTCCAACAGTCCGCCAATATGCAAGTCATTCTCCAGGCTGCAGGTTAGCCAATTAATTTAATTTATAGTCAGTTTCTTCTGGAGCTGAAAACACATTTCTTGTAACCAGAAAGGTATAGAAATATCTAGTCTTTTATAAAAGTAGGTGTGGTGAGCGTATTTCTAGCTCTTTCCCCTTAAAAGGGAAATATTTTATTCTGGTTATCACTTGCCACTGTTGCAATTGGTATCAATGACACCTAATTCAATTTATAAAAGCACCACTGCAAATGACAGTACCTATTATAAAAAGATAGGGGCTAAAATTATCAAAATAAAGCATTAATGCCTTGGGATGAAAGCTAACACCAAAAAGTAAAGATGAACGGGAAAACAAAAGAATAAGTGTCAAATGTTGAAAGTTATTAATTAAGAAGGTATCAAAGGTTATTGTTAAATTAGTTCTTAAAACTAATATGGCTTTCATTGTCACTTAACTATTTCTTGTGTTTTAAATGTGGCACATTGTCACAGAACAGAATGTTTTAAAACTCCAGAGGCATGTCCACCAAATGTGAGCTCCTCATTCAAGGGAAGTCATGACCTGAGGCCTGCATGTTTTTTTTCAAACTGTGATTCTTTTGGTTTCAAACATTTTCAGAACATCCACTAGAAATGTCATAGTTCTGTTCTTTCCTCCTCCTCTAGGCTGTAACATTTCATATATCAATTACAGAAGTACTACTTTTCACAGGAAACTGTTCTGGATTGCAGAGATCCAGAATAACACACTGTTAAGCTGACACACAGGAGAGATACTAAAAATACACTATTAGTCTGTAAGAGGCACATTCAAGTGTTTTGTTTAAGGTGAAGATCTTACTTCCATAATACCTTCAAACACATCTGTACACAAAGATTACCTACCCCCCAATTATTCTGATATATTTTAAAGCTAATGTTATGGAGCAGCACTTCATCTATAATAATTTTCAAATACATCAAGTATTTCACTTGTTAATTATCAATGTGATTAAATGAATGCTAGTCATTCTCCATTTACATGTTATTTAATAATGAAGAGTTCATTGTTTTTGTTCAATTAAAAACACCAGAAGTTATGACCCTTTCTGTGCTGCTATAACAAAGACTCCAGACCAGTAAGTTTATGATTAAGTGCTTCTACTTTGTATACAAGACAATAAAATGTTAACCAAACATTATCCTAACCTCCTAAAAGCTTTGAGTCCTAAGGATTCTAAAATCAATGCTACCATTGTCACATCAATGTACTTAAAACCCTTAAAAATGCAGTTCATACAATAGAGTACACAACTATACTGAACAGTTATCTGTGCATTTTGTAGGCAACTTTTTCTTGAAGAAATAAATGTCAGATTTTAAAATAGCCCTCAAGTCTAAATGCTGAAAGAGTTTATTATGCCCTAAAGAATAAACATTGTGCACAAGTTTTCACTTCCATTTTAACATGTTACGTTCTACTATGGTCTGCTTGTCCCTAAAGCTAACTCTTACCTCTTCGATTCCTGAACATTAATATTGGTTAGATGTAAACCCTAACTGACATTATTTGACTATTAAAGAAATGGATTTTATTTCATTCTTCCTTTGATAGTTTACCTAGTGTTGGACAAGAGGAAACAGGTGAAATGAACACCATTGTGAATGGTACAGAAACCTTAATTTCATCTACCAAGATACTGTTATCCCCTTTCCCCTCAAGTATCATTTTCAAACTAAGATCCTGAGCACCAGGAAGCTGCAAGACTGGAGGATGTTAACTGATAAACTTTTTATTTGTCTTTCACAATTATTTTCCTGGAGTTCCCTCTGAGAAAGAGACTTTCAATCAATTGCAATAGTCTGCCAAATTAGTGAACTGTGTCCTCAAGAAAGACTTGGCTGTATCTATCTTTGATTTTTATCATTCATCCTCACCTTACTTCTGTTTGAACATGTTCTGCAAGGAAGTTTCCCTAGTAGTTTTCCAACACCCCCCCCCC